AGTCCAGGTTCAGCGAGCACGTCCCCAGCAGCAGCAGCAGAAAGCAAATCGCATCAGAACCCTTAAAATATCCGCCTGACGCGGGCCTGCTCGCCCCGGACACAGAGCGTGACATTCCCGAGGGCTGTGCAGTGACTTCAAAACAAAAACAATGCACACCCCTCCTTGCGTGCGCCCAGGCCCTGCGGCCCTCACGGGCTGGGGGATGACACAGTCGGACAGAGGCACGCTCGCCATCACAGGCCGCTTTGAGGATCGTTATTTTTAACTTCGCCATTTGATACCTGCCGTGGCTGCCGCCTTGACGTGGGTTTCGAGGGAGGGGAGAGTCTGCCCATTGAGAGCAGGGCCGCCAGCTCCTGGGGAGGAGGCGGGTGAGGGACCGGAGGCCGGGGGCCTGGTGCGGGCAGCGGGCATGGTGGGCGTGAGTCAGCAGGGCCGGCGGAGTGGAGTCCATCCGTACGCTACTCTGCCTCATTCCTGGCACTTTCACTGGGGGTTCAGAGGTACCTACCAGCTTTTTTCTTTTCTTTTCTTTTTTTTTTAGAGAAAACCCTGAAGTATAGATATGTTTGTTTTGTTCATCCTCACCTGAGGGTATTTTTTCCATTGACTTTTAGAGAGAGTGGAAGAGAGAGGGAGAGACCGAGAGAGAAACATCGATGTGAAAGAGACACACTGATTGGTTGCCTCCCACACACGCCCCAACCGGGGCTGGGGATCGAGCCTGCGGCCGAGGTACGGGCCCTTAACCGGAATCGAACCCAGAACCTTTCAGTCCTCAGGCTGACACTCCAACCACAGAGCCACACCGGCTAGGGCTGAAGTATAGACTTTTAGGGGGGAATCTCCTAGTTGTAAAATACAGACGGGCCCCACCTTACAACGGCTCGACATGATTTTTTGACTTCACGATGGTGCAAACGCGACAGGCGTTCAGTGGAAGCCACACTTTGAATGCGATCTTCTCCCAGGCCAGCGGCGGTGGCGCGACGCCCTCGCCGGATGCTGGGCAGGGGGAAGAGCGTGCCCGCCTGGAGGCTGGTGTACGCGTCCTGAGCATGTTTAAGGCGGCTGCGCTAAGCTGTCATGGTCAGGGTATCCCATGCACTTTTTAAAAATATATATTTTATTGATTTTTTTACAGAGAGGAAGGGAGAGGGATAGAGAGTTAGAAACATCGATGAGAGAGAGAGACATCAATTAGCTGCCTCCTGCACACCCCCCAATGGGGATGTGCCCGCAACCAAGGTACATGCCCTTGACCAGAAACGAACCTGGGACCCTTCAGTCCACAGGCTGACGCTCTATCCACTGAGCCAAACCAGTCAGGGCCCCATGCACTTTTTTAAAAATATATGTTTTTATTGATTTCAGAGAAGAAGAGAGAAGAAGAGAGAGATAGAAACATCAGTGATGAGGATCATTGATCAGTTGCCTCCTACATGCTCCCTACTGGGGACTGAGGCTGCAACCCAGGCATGGGACCCAGCCGGGAATTGAACCCTGACCTCCCGGTTCCTAGGTCGATGCTCAACCACTGAGCCACACCGGCCTGACTCCTCTGTTACTCTTCCCATACTCCTGCCTACACCACAGCTGTTCCAAATAAATACTCATGACTTTAAAATAAAAAAATGGGTCCCTCCTCAGAGACGTGAAGGCGTCTCTCCCAGACAAAGAACGACATCCGCCCCGTGCAGAAAGCCACCGAATGTGAGAACTTAGAAAGTCTCAAGCTCCCCTCTCCCCTCGCCCCATTTTACAGATTGGAAAACCGAGGCTCAGAGAGGGAGAGAGGCCTGCCCAGGGCCCTTACCAGACTTCCCGGACGGTGTCATTCCTCTCCAGGGCCCGCAGGAGGGCTTCCGCGCCTCGGTAGGTGACACAGTTGTTGGACAGCCTGCAGAGGAAGAGGCACCGGTGAGCTTCCCGGATGCTCGGTTGTCCCCGGGGGCCTGTCCTGTCGCAGGAGGCGTTGGGAGTTGGCCGGCCTGCTAAGGCCGCCCGCCACCCCTCCTCACGCCCCTCTCCTGCTGAGATGCCCAGTGCGCTCCCCATAGAGGCGCGGGGCCAACGGTGAGGCGGCGGCTCTCTACCCCACACGCCAGGTTCGTTGATCTGACTCGGGCTGCGCCCTCGGAAGGTGCTGAGCACGGTGGCTATTACAAGCATCTCAGTGCCAGACTTCCTGGGTCCCGGTCCAACTTCCTTTCTGATCTCAAGCGCATGAGTCCCACCTTCCTCCCCTCTGACATGGACCTAAAGGAGTGTCCACCTCACAAAGGATCGGAATTAAAGGACGGTTTGTTCTGAACCACGTGGCACCGTACTTAATGGGTGGAAAAGAATCAATGGCCCCAGCCAGTTTGGCTCAATGGATAGAGCGTCGGCCTGCGGACCCAAGGGTCCCGGGTTCGATTCCCATCAAGAGCATGTACCTCGGTTGCAGGCTCCTCCCCGGACCGGGCCCTGGTCCTGGTTGGGGCTCGTGCAGGAGGCAACCAATCGATGTGTCTCTCTCACATCAATGTTTCTCTCTGTCTTTCCCTCTCTCTTCCACTCTCTCTAAAAATCAATGGGAAAACATCCTTGGGGGAGAATTCATAAAAAAAGAATCAATGAACAGGGACATTTCATCTCAAGGGTCTTGGGAGACAGGTTGGGGATGGGTAAGGGAGGTGTCAGGCTGTCAGGGCCGATGGGGGAAGAGGCACGGGTTCCCCATCCTGTCCTTCTCATAACCCTGCCCTTCTCATAGCTCAACTAGTCAAATCACCTCCACCCCTGCCCTCCACGCCCTCCACCAAGGCGGCAACTTCTCAGAAGCGGATGCCGAGGCCATGCTATGAGTCATAACAGCCCACCGGGCGGAGTCCTACTATGTGTCCTCTGTTACCTCCACCCTCTCCCACTCAGACCCCGAGGGGCGGGCCCGATGATCATCCCCGTTCACCCCTGCGTGGCCGGGCCCTCGTCCAAGGGGCAGCAGCCGGGGCTGGTGGGGCGGGTCCAAACCCAGGCACCAGGTCCACAGCCCACACTCAACCAACGCTTGGCAGTTTGGTTAAAAGAAAGATGTAGGAGTCTTTCTATGGGGAACCAAGAGGGGGGGATCGCTTAGAGACGCTGAATGATAAGCCACGCCAGGACAGCGTGGGACAGCCCCTGCTGCACGGCCTGGCCTCCCTCGGGGCCGACTGGGCAAGTCCGTGGCCATGAGAGAGCACAGCGCCCCCTCCCCCACACCGGGTCCGGGATGGAGCGGGCATGGCCACCCGTCTCCCTGTCCTCGAGGCCAGGTGTCCCGCTCAGGCACATCCCGGCTGCACCGGGCTCCCAGCCACTTCGCCTCGTAATGAGCGGAAGCGATTTTCCCAAATATTTGGCAACTGCCCGGCCCCTCAAAGCGACACACACAGCGTCCCCCGAACAGCGGGCATGTGGGCAAAGCAGCGCTCTCCCGGAGGCCGCGTCTGCTTCCCTAGGGCCTCGCTTGCCAGGGAAAGCGCCCCTCCTCCAGCGGAAGGAGCCATCGCGATGCCCTCCGTGCCTCAGCGAGCGCCCGGCACCGAGGGGTGGGGGGGGCGGAACATTTCTCGTGTCCACACGGGCACGGACGCACGCACCCACCATAGAGCAAGCGCGCCTGCCGCCTCACACGAGCGACACCCTGGAGGTGACATCATGAGACGCCTCTCGCCTGGGCCAGAGAGGCCTGGAGGTGGGGGGCCGTGGCACCTGCTGCCGGCAACCAGCCGTGTCCCCTCAGCTCCCACCTCCCGCTCCCACGGCTGCTCGCTGGGAAGACCCCGTCCCCGCCCGAGGCCTTGCTGCCGACCGCGGAAGATGCTCACGTCAACATGAGGCGGATGGGCAGCACCCCACAGCCTGGCACCAGCGGAGGGAGCCCCAGACGCCTCGGTGATCCCAGACTTGGGGACACACCATCACCGTTATCTTCCCTTCCCTTCCCCGCCTCCCTTCACGGCTCTGTCGCCAGGGTTTGCCGGGCCCGCCTGGCCTTGCAATCCCTGCCTGCGTTTGGGGGACCCCCTCCCGCCAAGCAATACCAGCCGGTTCCGCCAGGCCGCCTGCTGGGAGGTAGCCAGGCGGGGCCCCCCTTCTGCCCGGGCCTCTGGGTCAGAGCACCCCTCCCCGCTGCTCAGGCCTGTGCGGGCCCCTTACTTGAGGACTTTCAAGCTGGGATTTCTCCTGAGCCCTTCGGCGAGAGAGCAGACGCCTTCGTCTCCGAGCTGGTTCTCCTCCAGGCTGCGGACAAGAGAGAGGACTCTGTCGAGGCGGGAACAGTCATCATGGAAGAGGAGGTCGCTGGAGAGGAGCCGGGTCCCCCCACTTAGCAAGGCCAACACCCCCAATCCACACTTGCAAATAAAGTAAGAGCAGAGAAGGCAGGTGTGGGGGGCTCCGTCCCAGAGACATTTTGGGGAGAGAATGTCCCCAAATTCTCCAGGACGTAAGAGGTCCCCTCATGTCCCAGGGACTCAATATCCATTTCCTCTTTCTTTTCTTTTTTTTAAAATATATTTTTATTGGTTTCAGAGAGGAAGGGAGAGGGATAGCGAGAGAAACATCAACAATGAGAGAGAATCATGGATCGGCTGCCTCCTACACGCCCCACACTGGGGATCGAGCTGGCAGCCTGGGCATGTGCCCTGACCGAGAATCAAACCCTGACTTCCTGGTTCATAGGTCGATGCTCAACCACTGAGCCACGCCAGCTGGGCTTCTCTTTCTTTCTTATGAATGGAAGCCTCATTTCGTTTGGGGCAGCCATGTGCTTGGTCAAACAAACAACAACAAAACCCCCAATTTCCCACTCTGCACTGCAGCCAGGGCCGACCAAGAGACCTCCCCATGGCCATGGCCAATGGGCCCCTGGGAATGCTCTCAAAAGGGGAGAGACCCCGCCGGCCCGTGCCTTGGCCCTCCCTGGAAAAGTAGACTGCATCCTGGAATGCACACGAAATGTTGGAGGTGCTGCAGCCCTCTTGTGGTCATGAGGCAACCGACCGGGAGGGTGAAGCCACAGGCGGAGGATGTGATGGGACAGAGAGAGAGTCCAGAGCCCCGCTGGCCTGTGGCCACCAGACCGGCCCTGTGCCGCCTGCCTCCGGGACGCCTGTACGCGGAAAACGGAGTCCTCTCCTGGTTGAAGCCACCGTAGGGGAGGCTTTCCCTCACCCGCAGCCCACGGAAGTCATAACTGACGCACTGGCAGCGAGGCACCCCTCTCCCAAGAAGTTCCAGGTGGCCAAACCCCGTCAGGACAGATGCCCTGGTCCGTGGGCAGAGCCAGCGAGCCCTGCCGACAGCCAAGGCCCACCCCCACCTCCACTCCACTGAGGTCCCGGTCCCTTCTGCTTCCTGGATGAATCAGCGACTCATCTGCCTGAGAGAACGTGGGACCGCCCAAGACATGTCATAAGGAGGCTAAGCTGGTGGCAACTGGCAGATGGAAAACCTGGATCCACTTCAGATGGGTCCTGCCTGTATGACTCACCGTCCATCTTTCAACTCCACCCCCCACCCCGCCTACCAGGGCGGCCCTGCCTCTCACGGCCGCTGGGCTCCGGCCACACTGACATGATGGGCTGCTGTTAGCAGTGACGTCACAGGTAGCTACAGAGGGGGCAGCGGCAACAGTGGCCACACCGGCACTGTGACAGGGGAACATGTGCGAAGTGCTTATTAAGCTCGTCCCAGGCATCACCTCGTTTAATTCTTACAAACGTGTTTCTAGTTGGAGAAAACGAACTACAGTGGGGCCTTGACTTACGAGTGTCCCGACTAACGAGTTTTTCGAGATACGAGCCATCTCTCGGCCGATTTTTTGCTTTGAGTTGCGAGCTAAAATTCGGGTTACGAGCCAGCTTCAGATACCCCACCGCTAGTTGGCGCAGCGAACGTCACAGTGAATGCCACAACATTAGCCCAGCATCATGTGTCTCACTCGTTCACTTTAAGATTTGACATACGAGTAATTTGAGTTACGAGCTCCATCAAGGAACAAATTAAACTCGTAAGTCAAGGCCCCACTGTAGACTCGGAGACTGCACTGAACTGGCCTCTGATCTCAGCCCCTTGATTCCGGGATCCGTGCTCTCACCCGTGAGGCCGCCTGGAGGCAGTACACACACCAAGGAACCCACAGTGCAGTTCAGTACGAAGAGCGAGCACCTCGCCCGGCCTGCGTGGCTCAGTGGTTGAGCATCAACCTATGAACCAGGAGGTCACAGTTCTATTCCCGGGTTGCGGGCTCAATCCCCAGTAGGGGGGTGAGCGGGAGGCAGCCGATTGATGATTCTCTCTCATCATTGATGCTTCTATCTCTCCCTCTCTGAAATCAATAAAAATATATTTAATTTTTTTTTTAAAAAGGGGGGGGGACGAGCACCTCTATGCCGACTCTGTAAGCTTCGTTCGCCAGGACACTGAGAGATGAGGGCAATCAAGCAATCACTCCATCATAGACCTTTGTCTCGTCCGCACCGCTGCTTCCCCAACGAGGCCAGGGAATGAAGAGAGGCTGGCCTCTGCCCCCCAGAGCAGGGACTCCCCCAAACTCACCAGAGTTCCTCCAGTGCCATGTTCTTCTCCAGCATCGAGGCTAAGGCTCGGGCACCCACACTGCCAATGCGGTTCCCCACCAGGCTGGATGCCATCAGGGAACAAGAACGGGTCAGAGCGGGGAGGGGCCTGGGAGATAAGCTAAGCCAGGATGCGTGGCACACACAGCCCCACTTCCCGCTCTGCTCCATTCCAGACATCAATCATTGATTACCGCATTCTTTTCCACCAAGCCCAGGCAACCAATCGATATGTCTCTCGCATCAATGTCTCTCTATCTCTCTCTCTTCTTCCTTCCTCCCTCCCACTCTCTCTCTAGAAATCAATTGAAAAAATATCTTCTGGTGAGAATTTTTTTTTTTAATATTTGATCCAACCCAAGACCTTCAACTTACAGACAGGGAAGCAAGACCCTTGAGAGGAGAAGGGGCCGCTCCAAAGTCACCCAGAAAGACTCGTGTCCTGACTCCAAACCCTCTGGCCTCTCCCTCTCATCCCTCTGCCCAACCCGGGGGGTAAAAATGAAGTTCCGAGACCTTCGGAACTGGCCCGGCTCCCCCCTCCTCATGCCGGCTCCCCAGGAGGACGGCGGGACAGACACGGAGGCTTACCTGAGCCACCTCAAGCTCTGGTGGTCGCCCAGGGCTTCCGCCAAGGCCTGCGCCCCCTTGTCCCCCACCTCGTTGCCCCAGAACCTGAAAAGGCCAGCAGAGTCAACAGTGTCAGGGCGGACGCGCTGTGTGCTCCAGACAGGCTGTGTGTGCTCCAGTGGTTCCTCCCTCTCCACGGCCCCCCCAATCCCAGAAGGGTCTCAGTGGGGCTCCCTGCTCCCAGCCAGGCGGGCCTGCCTCCGTTGTTCCCGAGGGACGGCCAACCGTTTCCCTCTGACTTTTCGGCTGCTTCACAGCAGACTTACAGGACGGTAGAGGCCCACCCCGCGCACACCCTCGGGGACGGGGAACTCACTCCCCATGGCAATCCCCATGGTTGTGGCATTTTTCTTGACATTTAGGTCAGATCAGCTTCCTGGGAGCTGTGCCCACAAGTGCCTGGACCTGCCGGGGGTGTGGCCCTGTCCCGCACACAGGAGGCTCCACTCCGGGGCCCAGGGCCTGTGGGGCTGTGCACCCCCAACCTGTCAGACGCCCCTCCCCTCGCCGCAGGCCTGGCGAGCCTCCCGCCAGCAGGAAGCTCCGAAGGGCCTGGTCCAGCCGCCAGCCTCCCCTGCGTCCTTCTCTCTCCTCCAGCAGCACCTCCTCTGGGAGCTTTCGAACATGACTGATTCCGGGGCCCTGACCTTAGGGGGCTCCCTTAACTGGTCTGCGGAGGGGCCCTGGCCAGGGCCCCTTCAAAGCCGTGCTGGTTCCTACGCACAGACAGAGGTGAGAAGCAAAGACCCGAGCTTCCTGCCACCTCGCGGGCACTGCCTTCCCCCACCCTGCCGTCCTCAGCTTCCTGTTTACTGGGGGGAAAGCAAGTGCCAGGCAGCCAAGGAGGCCACTGGCTCCCCACCTCGCCCCCCCAGCAGAGCCCGGGCTGCCCATGGGGCCTTCAGGCTCAGGAGCTTCCCCGGCCCCACACCCCTCCACAGGCCCCAAGCCCAGACCCCAACCTACCCCAGGAACTGCAGCGACGTGTTGGCCCTGAGGCCCCGGGCCAGCACCTGGGCCCCCGCCTCGGTGATGTGGTTATTCCCCAGCCTGGAGGGAAGGAGAGGAGGCTGGGAGAGCGTGGCGTGGGGAGGCCGGGTCTGCTGGGGACAGTGCAGCCTGGACAGAGGCGCCTGGACAGATGCCTTGGGCACCTGCCTGAAGGATGCGTGTGCGCTATCCGTATGGGAGCCTGCCCTGCCTGCAGGATGCATGTGTGCTATCCGTGTGGGAGCCTGCCCTGCCTGCAGGATGCGTGTGTGCTATCCGTGTGGGAGCCTGCCCTGCCTGCAGGATGCGTGTGTGCTATCCGTGTGGGAGCCTGCCCTGCCTGCAGGATGCATGTGTGCTATCCGTGTGGGAGCCTGCCCTGCCTGCAGGATGCATGTGTGCTATCCGTGTGGGAGCCTGCCCTGCCTGCAGGATGCGTGTGTGCTATCCGTGTGGGGAGCTGCCCTGCCTGCAGGATGCGTGTGTGCTATCCATGTGGGAGCCTGCCCTGCCTGCAGGATGCGTGTGCGCTATCCGTGTAGGGAGCCTGCCCTGCTTACAGGATGCATGTGTGCTATCCGTGTGGGGAGCTGCCCTGCCTACAGGATGCGTGTGTGTTATCTGTGTGGGGAGCTGCCCTGCTTACAGGATGTGTGTGTGCTATCCGTGTGGGGAGCTGCCCTGCCTGAAGGATGTGTGTGTGCTATCCATGTGGGAGCCTGCTCTGCCTGCAGGATGCATGTGTGCTATCCGTGTGGGAGCCTGTCCAGCCTGCAGGATGCGTGTGTGCTATCC